TCAGCTTCCTTATTTGGAAACGTTCTCAGATGTTCTGCTAAAAGTCAAGATATACTCGGAGCTGGGAGATCTTCTAATCCAGCCCTGTGCTGTACCATTCCAGGCAAGTAGCTATCCAGTCTCTTCTTAAAAGCTTCCAGTGATGATGGATCACCCACAACCTCTGAAGGCATGCCGTTACAATGATTAATTGCTTTCGTTGTCAGGAAATCGTTCCTTAGTTCCAGTTTTCTTCTCTCTTTGTTCCATCCATTGCTTCTTGACCTGCCTTCAGGTGTTTTGGAGAATAGGTTGCCCCCCTCTTTTTTATGGCAGCCCCTCCAATGTCAGAAGACAGATATCATGTCTCTCCTAGTCCTCCTCTTCTCCAAAACTAGCCATACCCACATCCAGCAACCGTTTTTCATATGTTTCAGTCTCCAGACCTTTTATCATCTTAGCTGCTCTTCTCTGCCCTTTCTCCAAACTTTCAACATCTTTTTCGTCATGAGGTAACCAAAACTGGATGGAGTATTTCAGGCCTCTTGCTTGTGTAGGGTGTTGGACTAGAAGATCTACAAGGTCCCTTCCAACTCTGTTTATCTGTAAATAAAGAGGTACTAACACTTCACATGGTTTTGATTCTATGCCTCTGTTTATACAACCAAAGACTATATTCACTTTACTTGACAAACTGATTACTCCAGATACTGATTGAAGATATAGATAGATGATAGATAGATGGATGGATAGATATATAGATAGATAGAGGGATGGATAGATAGATGGATGGATGGAAGGAGGGAGGGAGGGAGAGAGATGGATGGACAGAGGGATGGAGCGATGGAAAGATAGATGGAGGAATGGATAGAGAGATGGAGGGAGGGAGAGATGGATGGTGAGAGGGAGGATGGTTGGATGGATGGATAAGTAGGTAGGTAGGTAGATGGATAGGTACAGGGGTGGGATTCTACCGGTTCACACCTATTCACTAGAACCGGTTGTTAACATTCTAAGCAGTTCGGAGAAATGGTTGTTAGAAGAAATTACTGGCCTAATCCTGTAAGGAAGGCGGAAAGGAAACATTCTGGTGTTGCTTACAGAAACTGCCTCTCCGTTGACCTTTATTGCATTCTTGGCAGGACTAGACTTCCTGTCTCAGGAACGTCTCTGGAGTTTTTTTTCCCCTCCTTTGCTGGTACTTTGCTTGTGTGGAGTGACCATTCAAAGTTACAGTGGCACTGAAAAAAGTGACTTATGACCGTTTTTCACACTTATGACTCTTGCAGCATCCCCCAGTCACAAGAGGCCAGGCGAGGAGATGCGTGCCTCGATGTGAGTGATGTTGAGTTGGCCACACCCAGCCAGTAACATGACCACCAAAGCTATGTCCACCCAGTCACATGACCACCAAGCCACACCCACCAACTAAGTAACATCCGCAGAACCAGTTGTTAAAAAATTTGAATCCCACCCCCGGATAGGTAGATAGATGGAAGGATGGATAGATGGATGGAGGGAGGGATGGACTAGACAAGCCCAATTCCTGCAATTGTTCTTCATATATTTTGGTCTCCAGCCCCCTAATTATCTTTGTCACGCTTCTCTGCACTCTTGACGGCCTCCTCAGAATCTCTGAATATATTGACACAACAGAACAAAATGACAGAGTTGGAAGGGACCTTGGAGATCTTCTAGTCTAACTAGGATCAAACTGGATTTCTTCAAGGGCCGGATCAGCATTGTTTTACTCAGCGGGCCGGCTGGGAGCGGGGGATGGGAATGATGACAGACAGGACGGATGACTCCTGCAACACCCTGCTGGCCAAAATAGGGGTGGGGAGCAGGTTTTGGCTGGCAGGATACTGCAGGAGTCCATTCAGGCTGAAAATGGGCCACAGAGGAGGTCACACATGGCCCCCTGTGCCCATTTTCACTAGCAAAGGCACCGCGGGCCAGTCCTTTGCTATTTCCAGGCCAGCCCTGTGGGCTAAACCTAAGCACCCCATGGGCCGTATGTGGCCCATGGGCCTTGAGTTTGACACTCCTGTTCTAGTCCAATCTTCTGCTCAAGCAGCTGTCTGGAATGCTGTAGGGTTTCTCTCAAGAAACAGGCACAATTGTCCCACAACATGAAGCTGTGCAAAAGCCGGCTGCTCTACTGATTTATTTTGCTTTTCTTCCATTTAGTACTTCACCTGTCAGGGAAGGGAAATGATGCAAATTATATAATATAATGTCAATAACAATAGCGCTTAGACTTATATACCGCTTTATAGTGCTTTACAGCCCCCCTCTAAGTGGTTTTACAGAGTCAGCCTCTTGCCCCCAACAATCTAGGCCCTCATTTTACCCACCTCGGAAGGCTGAGTCAACCTTGAGCCTGGTGAGATTTGAACTGCCGAATTGCAGGCAGCCGGCAGTCAGCAGAAGTAGCCTGCAATACTGCACTCTCACCACTGCGCCATGGAGGCTCTTCAAGATGAAGATGACATCATCGTGGCTTGTACCAGATGTCTCTATTCCCTATTTTTGATCCTATCTTTTGGTGCAGATATATGATACCTGGAGTAAATTGCTATCCCTTGGCAGAGGCTTGAAATAAATCTGTAAAATTATGTACCAATATCTAATACCTTATGTTCATGAATAATTATCATAACCTATCAAAGCGTTTTCTTTGCGTTACCCATTTAATATATGTGGCTGCCTATTAAGGGTTTTTAAACCCAATCTAGTTACTCCAGAGAATTTTCCTACTATAACTGTCTTGAAATCTTCTTTAGAACTTGGCGTTCCATAAATTACTTTTAATAGTTTCAAACGAATTAAATTGAAATAATGCTGACATTAACAAGTGGTGAATAAGGGACTTTTAAGTAGTTCTTTGAGATATACAGTATTTTTCAGATTGTTGTGTTTTAAGGTGGCACTGCAGTTGCAGTGTTTATTTGACCTGTATGGTTTTGTGAGGTGCTCTGAACCTGGAAATGTTGTCTGAATTTTCTATTTCTTCTAGCTAAGCCTGTGCTCACAGAACCGGTTGTTAAACTGGTTGTAGCCCATTAGCCCAGTGCAATTTGCCATTATTCCAAACAAGTATTTTTTAAAAGCTGATAAGTATTTATATCTATATATAAGTTGTGCCAAGCCATGTTTCTTATACTCTGTTTATGTATGATCAGTTGAATAAGTTGTATTGTTTGGCTTCACACATTATGTTGCTCTTTCTTTCTCTTTCTTTCTTTCTTTCTTTCTTTCTTTCTTTCTTTCTTTCTTTCT